TTTGTGGTGGCGTTCAACTCGTAAATACGATCTATCCGACATGACTTGAACGCACCATAACTCTTTGTCCAACAATGGAAAAGTGGCCACCGCCACCTAAATGTAATCCGGCTCTTATAAGTCTCCTGAAACGTACAAAGGATTTAGTCCTGATGGCACTGATAAAAACATAAGTAAAATTGTTTATGTTATGAATTAGAACAGCAATATCACTTTTAAGGACGTCCACCAATGATCTCTATCAGCGCCGAAGGACCCTGCAGCTGATTGGTCGACATCAACAGTCACATCAGCTGGTTTGGTCTAGGATGCTATTTTTGCTTCAGACGCGAATAACGTTACACGGATTGTAGCTCACCGAGACAAACATCGTTATCTGTAAGTATGATTCCTTCGTTATACCACAGGGTTACTTGCTTATCTCGATTACGGAATGAAGACCGCAGAAGACCGGATAGTTTGTTTATTTTGCATGACGTCTGCTTGTCGACTCTGCTTCTATAACCTGATTTTTTTCCCGATGCGTCAACCTATTATATTCACTTATATAGAAATGAGATTAATGTAATTTTCAAGAATATGCCGCATATTTGTTGCCATCTAAAAGTCATAAAGTCGTAAATAAACGACATGCATAATGTAACGGTAAAGATTAACTTGTGTCCGGATCACAAATGTCGTTTAAGTGTCTCTCCTAGGATAAGAGTAAAAACAAGAAGAGCAGTGTTTCGAGGTTGCCATGGCACCGACAAAGGTAAATGCATTTTAATAATCTGAAACGAACTGAAATGTAACAGTAAATGGCGAATAGATCATTTTAGTGCTGTTGTTATTGAAGAAATCGTAGTGTTTGGTACTGTTGCACAGTTAGGTAATTATGTATGCTTATTGCTCAAGGTCTGTTATGGAGGAACTGTATTATTATCAGCTACAGAACCTCTAGCAAGCACACTTTTGCTTTATTTTTCTTTTCTATTCACAAGTGCAATAGTATCTGTTATTTGAGTCAAACAGTATGATATATTATTGTCGATCTAAATGACTCTTTAACAAAATATGACATCTGATATTGTGTTCCTTTGAGGATCAAAAGCCAGAGCCCGGAGACCTTATTGAAATCTTCCGAGGCTCATATCAGCACTGGGCTATTTATGTTGGAGAAGGTTATGTGATTCACCTGGCACCTCCCTGTGAGTATTTTACATGCCTCAAATTATTGAGCTTAACTTGCATTCAGTCGGAAACATTCCATTTAAGTCTCATGAATGACATGTAAAGGTCAAGCGCTTTACAGACTTTGTTTTTGCATTTCTTTCTCTTCAGCTGAACATGCTCAAGCTGGAGCCTACAGTATGATGTCGGTGTTATGTGATAAAGCCACAGTGAAGAAAGAAGAACTTTATGAAGTAGCTGGCAATGATGAATACTGTATCAACAACCTTCTAGATGAGAAATATGAGACACGTCCTGTTCGCGAGATTCTACGGGATGCACATAGATTTTTGGGACAAGAACTTTCATATTGTGTCTTTAGAGGGAACTGTGAGCACTTTGTTACAGAGCTGAGATACGGAAAACCACAGTCCCGACAGGTACAGTTTGAACATCACAGAAGTAATAGTGTGAAGTAGTGAATAGTGCTTTCAGTAATTTCTCAAAAAAAAAATTCAAATCACAGTATTGCAGCACTGTTTTATGGTAAACTATTTAATATTGATTTAGGCAACAGTGATGGGAGCTTTTCTTATCATACAGTGAATTAATATAATACTTTCTGTCCATTGTCATAGGTGCGGAAAGCGGTGGAGACTGGTGTTGGAGTTAGTCTTGCTGCAGCAGCTATCTTTGCAGTTCTTGCTGCTGCTGCAGCCATATTTGGCTCAAAAGACAAACAGAAACGGAACCAGTAAAGACTGGGGAATGAAGAAGTGAAAGCACAGCTGTGGAGACCTTTGATATTTAAAGTCTGTAAAATGTTTATTGCATTTAATGGAGATAATTAAAACATTTAATGTATTGATTAGGCAGGCTTAGTTTTAGGAGCACAAATGGAAATATTCCTAAACAGAACAAGAGATTGTCAGCAACCAAACAAAACCCCATCTGTTCTGTTGTTTGCTAACAGTGGTGCATTTCGCTACTGACAAATCTCTGCATCTCATTTTATTTAAATAATTTTGATATCACACACACACATTTCTCTTTCTACTGGTTTCCTATTAACACTTCAAGCACTTTAATACTATATAATCAAAAATAGCAAGCTAAATATTTGACCAAATAAATCCTAACATAAACTGCCATGTTGCTATTTTTGTGCCATTAAATATTTGACATCATATACTAGGTGTTTGTGTATTTCTTAATGTGATTATACTATACCAGCATATCGTAGATCAGGGATCCTCAAATCTGGCCCACGAGATCCTGCAGAGTTTAGCTCTAACCCTAATCAAACACACCTGAGCATGCTAATCAATGTCTTCAGGATCATTAGAAAATCACAGGTAGGTGAGTTTGATCAGGGTTGGAGCTAAACTCTGCAGCGCATTGGCCCTCCAGGGCAAGATTTGAGGAACCCTGTCGTAGATGTTACTTGTTAAATTAATTTTCTTGTTCCATGGTGCAAGATTATAATTTACACAAGAAAATCGGAAGGTTTCTGCAAAACTGGCCTGCCTTACATCAGCTCAATGGGACCTTTGTTACCATTTGCTGGACTAAATTCTTCTGACAGCAAAGCAGTGGGAAGCATAGCAATAGGACAACAACATCAGAGACATTGTGTTAAATACCTCTAATGGATCAAATAAATTTCTCATTAAAAGGGTCACATGATGTGATTTCAATTTTTCCTTTCTCTTTGGAGTGTTACAAGCTCTTGGTGCATAAAGAAGATCTGTAAAATTGCAAAGACTAGAGTCTCAAATCCAAAGAGATATTCTTTATAAAAGTTAAGATTCAACCACGCCTACCTAAAACGGCTCGTTCTAACACGCCCCCACATGTCTACGTTACAGTGTGGGAAGATTTGCATAACACCACCCAAATGTTTACACAAAGAAAGAAGGCGTAACTTTTATTCTCGCTGTAGTATTGTTGCCACCACCATGTCGTGAAGGCGCTGTGTTTCGTTGTGAAAGCGAAACTACTTTGGTTGGCCTTCCAAAAGAGGACAATATCCGCTTCGTCATGCCTGGAGCTGATCCGTGCTGGTCACTGAGGAAATACATCAACTTTGCGCTGTGGATCGCCGGATCGGCTTTCACCGTGGACGAAGTGGAGTCCAGCCCAGGGTCGTCACATGTGGTTGCCGCAAACCCGCCAGACGCTCCTTCGTCGAATCCGCCGGCCGCGGCTCACACTAGGCCGTCGGCCTGAAAGCGAAACTACTTTGTTTGGCCTTCCAAAAGAGGACATGACTAGAAATCAGTGGTTAAGATGTATTTACAACACTGTTCCAGAACAGTTCAACCCAAATATTCAGATGTGTGCAGCACATTTTATGGAGGACTGTTTCCTGATCCTGGGAGAGTAGACTACAATGCCGGCTGTTCTGACTCACAGATTATAAGTACGTTTTTTATATTAAAGAATTTGCAACTGATGATTCAAATTCGAGTTTTGAGCAGTGTAGAGCAGCGCTTGTTGTTTGTCTTTTCTCCGATCATAAATTCAGACATGGTTTTATGTTTACGCGGCGCGATGCAACGTGTAAAGAGACAGTACATGTCATAATCCATCCCCACTGGATGCAACAAATGCCTCGTTTATAATGGGTTTTATTGTTTTTGTCTTGTCACTCCGGCCTGACGGCATCATCACAATGTGGTAAGGGGCGTAACATTTCCGTCACACGCTTGAGGTATTCGGCCAATCACAACGCACTGGATAGCTGGCCAATCAGAGCACACCTCGCTTTTCAGAACGATGAGCTTTGTAAAAATCGACGCATTTCAGAAGGCGGGGCATAGAGGAGAAACAAGAATGTACAGTATGTGGAAAATAATGTGTTTTTTGAACCTTAAACCGCATAAACATTTCATTACACCAAATAATGTTCTTTTTAGCAGCATCATATGACCCCTTTAATGGTTAAGGTTAAGCTCATTTTGTGGCATGTTGATTACCACAAAATGTCATTTTGATTATTCTCTTTAGGAAAAAAAGTAATCATCACGGTAATGGTGAGGCACTTGAATGTGAATGGGATCAAACTAAATTGACACCGCACTCATATCCATTAAGACAAGGGTGAACTACATAATGAAAGTAAACAACATTAATGAAAGATAACAATTACCATACTGTGCAATTATATTCTGTGACATCATCTATGGCTGTTGGATTTGCCACCACTCCTTAAATAAACATTTACAAATATAGCGCTGGCCAAAGATAAGGAAATGAGATTGAAATAAATACATTAGTCTTACTGTCCAGTACTTAGAATTTAAGAAACCTTTCTTCCTGAGTTATGTTCATAAGCCAGTAATGCATTTCAACCCTAAATTTTCAATTTTCAAATTTTAATCACAGGGTTATACTAAACCTTTTGACCAATAACTTTCCATGACTTTGCCCAACCCTTGTCATTCCCACATAAGGATTTTTAGAATTTTTCTTTAGATTTTATATAGAAAATATTGTAGACAATTCAGCTAATTAAATATTTTAGAGTTGAATACTACCAGTGTTTTTTAGGCCTATAAAATTATAATATTAAATTCCTTGATATTTCTAGATTTTTGATGACTGTAGAAAATAAATCTCACCACTTCTTCTGTTATATATTTTTAGAAGGCAACACTGTGTTTCTGACAGTTCAATGAGACCTTTGTTACCATTTGCTGGACTAAGTTCTGTGAAACATAGCAATTGAGCAACATGATTCTGTATAGCACATTTCCAAAGACAGACTGCTCCTCTTTATTATAATACATATGAAGTTGGATTTTACATCTGTGTGTACAGTACATTAATTACCCCTTCTGAAAATATTGCACCAGATTTCACAGACTGTCTCATTAACTAAAATCATCTGTTGATTAGTTTATTTTACAACATAAGCAGTACCGCTTACTTGGAACGCAGAAGAAGGCACAAACCAACAAGCACATCCACCCTCACCCCGTCATATGTCAAACAAAGAAAGAACAAAACGCCTTTCATGAGTTACAATGTTTTTTGGTCAAGTGAATCCTTTGTTTTGAAAATATTCATCTGTGTTTATACATGCACTAGTAATGGCATTGTTCCATCTAGGATCATGATTAAGTAACAGCTAACATGTTTGATTTTCTCTGCATCATCCATTTTCATGTCCTCAAAGATCGCATTCAGGGCAAAGCGGTCCTTAGTTAATGTATAATCAGTGTACATCCATACACAGATATATAGGATTATATTATTCTCCTAATAATCAAACCAGTGAGTTCATGCACACTCAGTAAACTATGATATTGTGTATTATAAAAATCATGGTACTGTGGGGAGAGTAAAGGAACATCATAGTTTAAGGTGTGTTAGCTGTTCCTCAGTCAGCAGACACGGCTGAATTTTAGTTCTTTCAAGTTGCCCAGCGTACATCACAGAATGTTTCTTTAAAATCTCGCAGTCCCTTCATCTTCAAAGTGTCAATGATCTGTTGTACCTCAAGTGCTCAGTCCAGTTTGCGTGCGCCCAGTTTGAGAGGACCCTTTGCCGCCTTGCGCTCTGCCCGTTTGGCCTCCAGCTCTTTCCGCCGCTCTTCTCGTTTCTTCTTTACTAATTCTGCTTTACTTAAACCTGAGGGAGTGAAAGCATGGTTATTTGAGATGCACTTTCTATATTTTCTAACTGAAAACACAAGAATGAATCTGCATTTTAATACTCTGGTTTAAGTGCATAAACTGGAAAACAAATGTCTCTGACCCTGATCTCCATCCAGTGACTCCCAGTTTTCTTCTGTTCCCCAGTCTCCAGCACAGTCTGCATCCCAGCCATCAGACTTCTGTGGACAAAAAAAAAACACATAAACATTATACACCGGGAGGGAACTATAACATTTAGCAATTTACAATGAAAGGAAATACCTCCACCAGAGACTTACCGTAGTACTTCGTTGTGACACAATGGACAACAGATCGGATGTTGTTGATTTTCCTTCCGCTCCATCCCATTTATAATCGCTGGCCAATCGTACCCCTTCCTGCGCAGAGCTTAATCTGCCACTCTTTGGAGCTTCGGTTGAGGCTATACTTCGAGGTGTTGGGGTGAAACTCTCAGCCAGACTTCCATCCTCATCCCAGTCATTACCCCAGCCCTCATCAGCAGGTGAACTTTGACCCTGACCATCTGCGTCTTTCTCATTAGACCAGCTGTCATCGGCATCCCAGCCAGAGCTCCAATCAGAACTCTGCTTCTTGACTGCCTCAGAGGACTTCCGGCCCACCTATGGAAACATGACAAGCTTAGTTTAGCCTTGTTAAAGGATAATACATCATTTATTTGTGAAGTAACATTTGAATGAATAGAATTGTCTCATTTGATCAATATATTTCAATGCACGTACAATATTCTCTATATATTTTGAAATATTTTTATAAAATATATTGAAAATCCCATCTCAGTCAACCACTGTAGAACGAATATGGTTAAAAAAACCTGTCAAGTTTTTCCATTTAGTAATTTTAAGAAAGGATATTGTAAATACGTCCTCAACATTTGCACAAAGCTAACACTGAACAAATCAAGAAGGATAATAGTGATCTTTTATCCGATAAGCTACACTAATGCAAATCACTTACACTGCTTTTCTTCTGTGTTGATGACATTGCTGACCAATCAGAATGCCAATCGTCTGGATCTGTTTGGACCTTTTCAGGGTCCTGTGGGTGCACAGAGATAAGGAATTATTCAAATTTCTTCAGTATTCATGTGTAAGAGAACTTTTAACACTATAAAATGTCAAGCACTGAAAAAACAACAGCGACTTTACATAATTTGAATAACCAGCATTCACCTCAATGCTTCCCCAGTCTTCATCGTCCCACCGATCCCCATCTGGCTCCACTGTCTCCTCATTTGAGGTCTCTGATTGGACGCTACGTGCAAGGGTCAATTTTTTTTAAATAAAGCGGAATAAATAAGCTTTCCATTGATGTATGGTTTGTTAGTATAGGACAATATTTGGCCGAGATAAAACTATTTGAAAATCTGAGGCTGCAAAAAAAAATCTAAATATTGAGAAAATCGTCTTTAAAGTTGTCCAAATGAAGTCCTTAGCAATGCATATTACTAACCAAAAATTTAGTTTTTGTATATTTATGGTAGGACATTTACAACATATCTTCATGGAACATGATCTTTACTTAATATCCTAATGATTTTTGGCATAAAAGAAAAATTGATCATTTTGACCCATACAATGTATTGTTGGCTATTGCTACAAATATACCTGCGCTACTTATGATTGGTTTTGTGGTCCAGGGTAACAAATATGCTTTTAAAAACATTATACCTATTTCAGCTAGTTTAGAGGGGTCTTCAGAAACTGTCTCCAGCTTACTGAGGAAACTTTTTATGGCTTTGAACGCCTACAGGAACAGAAATACTTAAGTTAAATTGTCCGTTTTAAAAATGATGGATTACACACCCAAACCACAGAACATAAAAATAGATACTGTATCAGTGTGCACATCAGTTCTGCTGTACATTTTCTTTACCTGATCTCTGACGTTTTTGTCTGGGTCCACAGTCAGTGTGCACAGTGTGGGCAGAATACGATTGGCGCTTTCTGCCACACTATAGTACTGATGGGTGGCAGCAAACCCCAGGACGCCTGCTGCACGTGAGGCAGGAAACAGGTCTTTAGCTGCCCGTGAGAATGCAGAGATTAATACACGCTGGCGCATCTGAGAAAAAAGCATCGGGAAAAAGATGGTCATTGAGAGAAAACAATACGTGAAGGATTATGGGTTTTAGATGCAGTTACCCCAGCATTGAGGTAGGGGGCGATTTTGCCCAGGCAAACAGTGGTGTTGCAGCGGATGGGGCCCTGATCGTCCCGGGCCTGGAGTCGTGCAAAGTGACGCATCAACTCTTGATTTAAATTGGTTTCATTTAATTTAGGGGCCAACAGTAGCATGGACTACAGGAGAAAAATAAATTAAAAGAAACATTATTTAAAAGTGTTTGCTAAATGCATAAATGTAAATGTATAAATATGCCAACATCAGTTACACTGAGGTTCAAAACACTGGAAAGGAGAGAAGATGGAGCATACAGATACCTTTACAGTCTGCTCTCGGATGGCAGGGTTTGTGTCTGTGAAGCCATGAACCACGTGTGGAAAAATCTGTGAGTTAACTGCTGCTTCATTCAAATACTGAATAAACTGCTCCATCTGGAAAAAAGATAGACAAATAGAAAAAAGAATACATTTAGAACTGAGACAATGTGTTTGATAGAGTCAGAAAGTTTGGGTGAGACTTTGGTATGACGAAACTCTAATGTAGAAAACTCTAATGTACCTGCTGTAGCAGTCGTATCCTCATGGCACGGTCGGTAGAGGAGAACATCTTCACTATGACTGGGATGATTTTCTGCTGGTACTCCTCAGCTGACAAATACTTCCCTACCTAACACAAACAATATATATTTATTAAAGAAACTTCAAACCTTTTGGATAAGATGCTCTGAAGATAATGTACAACATGGTTAAGCGTTAATGCAATACCAAAAATGTCTATCACCTTAAATAATGGTGTGAGGACGACAGCGCCAGCATTGCCGAACTCGAAGGCTGTAAGGAGCTGAGGCAGCACTTTATGTTTACAGAAATCTTCAGGAAAAGAGTCGAGATTCTCACTTAGGTCCTGGAAAAACTGCTGCTTCTCTGCAGGTTCTTTAATCTACATGAACACACAAACAAACAAGCTTTTATGTGACTTATCTAACCTAAATCTATGGTAATCATGTTACAGTATTAATAAAAACACGTAAAAACAACACAAACCTATACACACAAAAACACAACCCACACAAATAGCCTGATCATCCTACACACGGTTTTATAATTTTACATAAAATATTTATAACATCTGAATTATTCATTTATCAAAGCATATTCATCAATATAAATTTCTGTTTAAATATTTGAGGGTGATTCATCAAGGAATGGATGCATTAAATCAATGAAAGATGACAAAGATGTTTACATCAAGATTTCCATTCATTAAATGCTGTTCTTTCGAACTTCCTATTCATCAAAGAATCCTGAAGAGTTTCAAAAAAATACTATGCAGCACAGTTGTACCAGCAATACTGGTAATAAGAAATGCCTCAAGCCCCAAATCTGCATATTAGAATTACCAACACCAAACTTTTGAATGCTAGTGTAATACAACACAATACAGGCTCACAGAAAAAGACAAACACACAATTGTTTAAATACCTGTATCTCTTCCAGAAACAGACAGCTCTCCACAAAGCTGTTGTTCATAAAGCCTCCAGGAGATCTGCAGTTCAGTAAGAAACGTGCAGGGTTGGGACGAATCTTTGGGTTTGCTCCAACTAACTCACAGTAATGCGGCACTAACTGCTTTGGAATCTGTAAGAAGTAAAGAAAGTGATTTGAAAGACTGAGTATAAACAGCTTTTATTCTGTATGTAATAATCAAAACTACTGAAGAAAGTTATTATTGCACAACTAGTTAAGAAAAAATGCCCTAGTACCTTGCCGAGAGATCGTAATGAGGAGGCACGTGGTAAACTTCCATTAAATACTTCCCAAATGAGACAACCGAGACGCCACACGTCCCCTGTCCTGAGATGGTACAGACACAACAATAAGCTATAGTTTATTAAATATGCATTTTACTAAACATTTTAAGTCTTGATCGAAAGTCAAGTCAATTTAAAATTTTCATAACCTATAGGAAATGTATGGGCTGAACTAGAGAATAGGAGATTTCTGCCTGTACCATTTATCTCCACCATTGCCAGGGCTCTCTGGAGGGTCATATCTCTCTAAGTCGGGGCTGATCACTTTAGGTGGCGGTAAGGAAGTGGAGTCTCCCTGGTCTGAGGTCACATGATCCAACCCTCCAAGTTTCCATTCACCAGCACGGTCCACAAAGACAGCCCACATGCCCAAGTTATTATGGTTGAGATGGCAATCGTTCACCAAGAAGCTCAGTGCTTTCTGATGGGAAAGGAGTGACAGCAAACTGAGTAATTTGACTAATGATTGAACAATAATTTAATTTTAGTCCATGCCTTCACAACTTACGACAATCTGATGAAGGCCCCATGACACCTCTAAATCACTCGCACCTCCCTTCTCCGCCTGGAGCTTCAGGTGAGCAGCCAGAGTCGTCACTGGCTCGGTGACGATGTACAAGCTTTTCTCTGTCTGATGCCAAACAGGAAAAGACAGGAGTTTTCATAAAAATGGCTTTTTAACGCAATCGGGATCAATCTTGACCATCAAACCTCAGTTTGTGTAAAATCCCCCACTAACAAAAAGTGACTAAAATATTTATATTCTGGGATTCAAGTATATTTAACTGACAAGGGGTTACACTCACAAAGCTCACCTCAACCTAAATAATCAATATTGCTTCAAGAGAACAACCCCCTTATGGTTCATCACCACATTGATAAACAACATAATTTCATGGGATCCTTACCTCCAACCCATCTACGTAAGACAAGATGTTGGGATGTCTGAGAGTTTTTGTGCGTTTGAAAGCTGCTTTAGCCAGCTGTGTCTGCTCCTCTGTTCCCTGGGAAACCTCATACAGGAAGACTGACACTGGCTCACCAGTTGTCTGGAATAAAGAGGGGGTACTAGTTAACTTAAGTTACAATTCATCTATAGTTGGCCAAGAAGACTAGTGCAATTAGATTGGGAAAACCCAGAATGTCCTGATTATATTGACTAGTCTTCAAATGAACGAAACCACTGATATATATCCTTTAGTCAATAACATTACAGTAAGAACCCTCCCTGATGTTTGAGCTGCCATTATAATGCTGATCAGATAGTTACTGATGCCCGCCAGTAAACTTAGTAAATGACGATCAGATACAATTCTGGTGAATGATCATGTGATACAGTTATTAATATGGCCTGTCAGGACACGTGTACAGTAAATACAAACGCTGCACCTTTCTCAGCAATTTATATAATCATACATAATACAATGAGCGATGACAGTGAAACACTACAAACAAAAAAATAAAAGGAAACACATAAACAAATGAATACTAACAATTGTACTTAGTCATAAGATCATTATTAAGCCGCTAATGTGTCTGCAGTTTTCTGTTGACGTGGCCACAGGAACGATATATACGTTAACGTTACTGTGGTGAAAGCATGACAAAAGAAACCTAGTTTGTGTTATAAGTGGTCCTTATATTGAAACAAATTCGCATCTACAGATATTTAGTACTGCCTATTAAAACATATAATCCTACAAAGAATTTCGGGGTGTTTTGAGCTTTTTATATTTGCTTTACTGCGCAACGCTACGCGGGATGTAGCTAAACTTAAGACCGAGGCTTCAGCGGCCTGCTGCGACACTACATGCTTTATATTACGTGCTAATTCGTTTTACCTTGCGCTTGCCCCGACTAAGGGTCCATATGCCTGACTTTTCTTGGTTTTCGGGTAAAATCTCATAGTTGAAGTCTTTGATAGGATCCCGTGCGAAAAAGGACCACATCCTTCCCCGTCAATCCAGCCTACGATGTTGCTGTAGGACTGACAGCGAACCAACAGAGGGCGCAACTGCTCCGCGACCGAAAAGCCACCGGGCCATGTGACACAATGATCCTGTTTGTGGGTTAGTTTATTCATTGTTCAATTTAAAATGGGGGAAAATCTCATTATGAAATAAATGTTTTTCTCTAATACACATTGGCCACAATTAATGGTAATCTTTTATTCAATACTTTTTGCATCATCCTTTTGCCAAGATACCAGCTCTGAGTCTTCACCTATAATGCTTGATACCTTTGGAGAACACCTGACAAGAGATCAGAGAACATTCCTTCATCTAGAATCTCCCCAGACCCTTTAGATTCCTAGCTCCGTGTTGGTGCTCCTTCTCTTCAGTTTACCACACTCATTTTCTATAGGTTTCAGGTCAGGAGACTGTTATTAATTATTATATTTTATATTATTATATATGATTATTATTATTATTATATATATATATCAAATTATTATTATTTATGTTTGTTTTTGGATCATTGATCCAACCTTGGCCCATTACAAGGTTTCTAGCATTAACAGCCAGTTTTTAATTTATTTTGTCTGTTGGTATTTAATTGAATCCATCCTTGATGCCATGTATATGTCCAGGACCTCTGGCAGAAAAATAGGCCCACAACATTAAAGATACAGAAATATATTTCATTGTACACATGGGTTACTTTTTTTCTCCTGTGTGCACCAAACCCATCTTGAGTGTTTGCTGCTAAAAAGCTCATTTTTTATTTTTATCTGACCATAGAATCCAGTCCTGTTTGAAGTTCCAGTAGTGCTCTCAACCGTTTGTTTTCGGTTGAGAGCATTTTCTGTACCTGATTTTTTTTCTTTAAACCCTCCCAAACAACTTGATGTAGGTGCTGTTTTAATTTTTTATTTATTTTTTTGTGAGACTTTCCAAAACAGACTCAACTACAGGTGCATCTCAATAAATTAGAATGTTGTGGAAAAGTTCATTTATTTCAGTAATTCAACTCAAATTGTGAAACTCGTGTATTAAATAAATTCAATGCACACAGACTGAAGTAGTTTAAGTCTTTGGTTCTTTTAATTGTGATGAATTTGGCTCACATCGAACAAAAACCCACCAATTCACTATCTCAACAAATTAGAATATGGTGACATGCCAATCAGCTAATCAACTCAAAACACCTGCAAAGGTTTCCTGAGCCTTCAAAATGGTCTCTCAGTTTGGTTCACTAGGCTACACAATCATGGGGAAGAATGCTGATCTGACAGTTGTTCAGAAGACAATCATTGACACCCTTCACAAGGAGGGTAAGCCACAAACATTAATTGCCAAAGAAGCTGGCTGTTCACAGAGTGCTGCATCCAAGCATGTTAACAGAAAGTTGAGAGGAAGGAAA